TATATATATATATTCTGGAAAATTTATATTATATATCTCACACTGGAAGAAGCACTAGTCTAGAAGCCAGGAAATCTTGCATTATTTAACCAGTACTACCATTAACAAGCTCTGGGTAAGACATTTAACTTTTCTGATTCTCAACTTTCCCATAAGAAAAATGTGGAAATTGATTAGCTAACTTACAAGGCTTCTTTCTGGAATCCCATTCATTGCCTTGGCACCCCATTTCCTACAGCCTGGGTACTATCCCATGGCTCTTCATCTTCTCAACAGTAGGTCTCATAGTTCAAATACCACCTTAGAGAAGATTTGCTTAATTGATCCATCGAGATCTAAAATTGTCTCATTTATTTGTTTAATTGTATATTGCCATCTCCCCTTAGAGAGTAAATTATTCCAGGACAGGTACTATTAAATAAATACGACAGTATTTAAAACTTTGCATATAGTAAACCTCAATAATTATTTGACAGAATGTCAGTCCTTTAAAACCAAAGGAATATTATTAGCACACTGGTTTAACTTTTCGTGCAATGCAGGTCTCATTTCCACATCATCAACTGGGTCATCAATCAAGAATCTTGAACATCTCCAGTGACAACAAGCCTATTAACTCATGAAGCAGTTCATTCTATTTTGGGACAACTCTACTCATTTGAAAAGTCTTCTTTACACTAAATCAAACCTCTCTCCATGTAATCTCCACTCATGTCTCTTGGATTAATGCCAACTTAAGTCTGGTCCCTCTTATAGATACAGACCTACACATTTCAGAAAAACAGTTGTAGATACTCCCTACATCTCTGTTGCAGGAAAAGTATTTCCATTCTTTTCAGTGATTCTCCTTGTATTATGCCCCTGAGATTGTCTTCCAATCTCAACCTTCCCGTGATAGTATGGAAATTCCCAATTTTTGAATTCTTATCTCAAAACATCAGAACTTAACACAGTCCTTCTCTCATTTGCTTTGACTAACATAAAGTCCGTGGAACAAATATCTTTCTTAGTCAATATAGACATGACAATATCATTCATGAAAGCATAATGATTATTCTGATATAAAGCTCATAATCAACTAAAACCTCCAGTTATTTTGATCAGCACTGCTATGAAGATAGGATCTTCCATTTTATAGATGTAAAGATGCTTTCTAAACAATTAGTTGCAATATTTTATATCCGTCCTGGTTAAACATAATTTTGTTCCTTTTAGTAGAGTGTTCTATGCTATTTTAATCTTTGAATCCCAACTCTGTACTTGAAGATCTCTCCAAATTATGTGTCATCAACATATTTGATAAGTATGCCTTCTGTGACAACACCCAAATCACTGATAAAAATATTTGCATAAGCAATATCAAACACTTACATCCCATAGCATAACAGCATAACATTAGCAATACTGGCTGATTTTTCTCTGGCTTATACTGATATTATGTGTGGTTCAACACACTATTTGTAACTCCCCAACAGCTTCTTATCTGCAAAAATATCATGAAAGGCATTATTAAATGCCCTTCTAAAGTCAAGATGTTCTATGAAAATATTTTATTAACATGGATTGTCTTTTTAAATATATTTTTGTTTTTATCTAAATTCCAGTGAGATAACATACATACATACACACACACACACACACACACACACACACACACACACACACACACGTCCATAATTTGGAAGTAAATAATACTGCTATAAACATAGGGGTACATGTATTCCTTTGGATTATTACTTTTGTATCCTTTGGGTAAATATCTAGTAATGCAATTGCTAGATCATAGGGTAGTTCTATTTCTAACTTTTTGAGGAAACTCCATACTGTTTTCCAGAGAATACATCAGTTTGCATTCCCCTTACTCATTTCATTTTATATATATATGCATAACAATGAGTGTATATATAGTACATATACATAAATCAATATATGTACATATAAATTATATATGTATATACATACGTGTATAGACCTAAACACATATATATGTATATATAAATTATATACGTATATACGTGTATGCATGTATATGTGTGTGTGTATATATAATGTACACCAAATTTAATCCTGTGGATAACTACCAACACAGGATGTGATGTCAACCCTATCAGCACCCCAAAATAGCATTTTATATATTGTCATTCCTGAAAAAATAGCACTTAATATGAATTGGTAAAATTTTGTTCTAAGTCTGGATATCTTTGCAAAGGAATGCTAAGAATACGGAATCAGCATAATCAAACCAAGCATATGTGGATATAATGGATATGTATATATATATACATATATATATGTGTATATAATAGATAAAAAAAAACAATGCTATGTCAAATGTGTTAATCAATCTAGAAGCCTCAGAAATTAAAGAAAAAAAAATCCAATATTATCTATATTGCTTCCATCTTTCCTATGGAATCTGCCCTGTCACTAAAATGCATATTTAGCAAATGAGTTTAACATTACATAGACCAAATTAATTAGGAACAATATCTTTAGTAATAAGGGCATTTTCAAAGTGCCCTTTTACTCCTAAAAGTTGAAGATATGGTCAAATCTTCCATTTTAAGATATATCCTCTAGATGCACAAAAATCTATTAAATGGCAGAATCATGAGATGAGACTGAACTACTTATTTGGGGGCAATTGTATCTCTATCACTGCTTTCTCAGCTATTTCACCCAACCGAACAGGACTCATAGTAGGCCCACAGGGTATGCAGTAACTTATAAATTATTTTACATTACTTTTCCTATTCAGTTATCTTTATGAGGAAATACTTACTGATTTTTCTAATTTTTCAAACTCTTTTCAGAAAACTAGGAGGATTTTTCCTGGGAGACACACATTAGCTATGTGAAGCCAACCGTTACTGAGAAAATGCCAAGCTTTTCTTTGTTCAACACAATCATTTTTGCTTCTTAAAAGGAAACAGAAGATGAAAGACCGACTTCAAGAACTAAAGCAACGAACAAAAGAAATCGAACTCTCCAGAGACAGGCATGTGTTGACTACAGAAGCAGAAGAACAAGGGGTGTTTTTGCAGCAAGCTGTTATTTATGAAAGAGAGCCGGTAGCTGAGAGACACTTACATGAGATCCAAAAACTACAGGAGAGTATTAACAATTTGACAGATGATGTTCAAAAATTTGGGCAGCAACAGAGAAGTCTGGTGGCTTCAATGAGAAGGTTTAGTCTACTTAAGAGAGAGTCTAGCATTACAAAGGAGATAAAAATACAAGCAGAACACATTAACAGAGGTTTGGATGATTTAGTAAAAGAAGTTAAGAAGTCAGAGGCTGAAAATGGTCCATCAGCAGTGGTGACAAGGATACTTAAATCTCAGCATGCTGCGATGTTCCGCCAATTTCAGCAAACAATGTTTACATACAATGATACATTAGCAGCAAAGCAGGAGAAGTGCAAGACATTTATTTTCCGTCAGCTTGAAGTTGCTGGAAAAGAAGTGCCTGAAGAAGAAGTAAATGATATGCTTTATCAAGGCAAATGGGAAGTTTTTAATGAAAGCTTACTTACAGAAATCACTATCACTAAAGCACAACTCTCAGAGATAGAACAAAGACACAAGGAACTTGTTAATTTGGAGAACCAAATAAAAGATTTAAGGGACCTTTTCATTCAGATATCTCTTTTAGTAGAGGAACAAGGAGAAAGCATCAACAATATCGAAATGATAGTGAATGGTACAAAAGAATATGTTAACACTACTAAAGAGAAATTTGGACTTGCTGTAAAATACAAAAAAAGAAATCCTTGTAAGGTATTGTGTTGTTGGTGTTGCCCGTGCTGTGGCTCAAAATAAAGAAGCTATTTTAGACATTTTCTCCAGTTGTAGAATGAAGGATGTCCCATATTTCAGCATCTTTCTTCATTTTACAGATCCATTCACATACCTTTCATCATTATTAAGTCATAATTTTCCTCTTCAGCCCTTATCTGCTAGACCAACAGAAACTTCTTCAGTCAGGGACAAAGCAAGTCATTTATTAAACCAAAAACAGTATAGGTAGTTAACTTTAAACTCACAAGTTAACTACTAAAAATGAGATCAATGATCTTATGTTTCCGTTCAGGTACCAAGCTCTATTATGTATTTTGTAACTTTTAATGCCTTAACAAGATGAATGTAAGTGACAACTGCTTAACCAATCCTTCTGGCTCATTTGAGAGCATTTCAGTGGTAAATTAAGTGCATGAAACAAGACCTCAAAAAGTGCTATATTAAAATCAAACCAGAAGCTGTGTCAAATCTTTTATGCTCAGATGGGTAAGTTAACTTGGTGGTCAACAAATCATGGAAAAATCCAACTATGTACTGAATGAAGAGTCTGGTTGGTAACTGAGAGCTGAATCTAGCTTAAGGCCTAAGAAAGTAAGGCACTGTTTTCCTGAACTTGGGTCCATTCAGGACATTGTAATACAGATCAGGAAGGTTGGCAAAGAAAGTAAAAAATAAAGGCAATTGCATTCTCAAAAGATTCTCTATCACTTTACGGTGAAGCTGAACACTGCACAATGGGCTAGGGATATAGTCTAAACTCACACAGGAATAGAGTTTTGGAATTCACATTTTAATGGAGAAAGCAGGTAAAAAACAAATATAAATATTACATACTGTTAAGCTCTTGGCAGAAACTTAAGGTATTGAGAAACTGACTTTTGGAATGGCTTCTTTTCCTTGGGTGGTCAGTGAAGGCCTCTCTGAAAGGGAACATTAAATGAATATCTAAATGATGAGGACAAGGAACAGTATATCCCAGACATAGTACAAAGAACCTGAGGATGATATAACTTACTCTGTTTCAAGAAAAATGAGCAGTACATCTGTATCGTAGTAAGAAAGGAGTAAGGAGGTAAGAGATAAAGTTAAGAAAGGTCAGCAGGGGCTAGATGAAAGGCTTTGTTGGCCATGTAAGTCCGAAGTTTACAGCAAGTATAATCAATGTTAAGCCCTTAGACTGTCTCTAGCCTGTAAATGACGTTATGTAATTTATCTGAGAAAAATCATCTTGTCTGCTGTATGTGGGTTAGAATGGATTTGAGGCAGATGAGTGGAGGACAAGGATGCAGGTATAGAAAACCACCAGAAGGGTAATGCAGCAATCCCAGTAAGAGATGGTGGAAGCCTGGACTAGGATGGGAATGGAGGTGGGGGTGGGGGTAGCATTACTAACACTCAAGGTTAATACAGTGTGTTATGTCTCAGCATTGTTCTAATAATTTTACAGTTTTGCCCACAAAAACACTAGGTACGGTGAGGTTAAGTAACCTGTCCCAGGTCACAGAAACTGTGAGAATCAGAATTTGAACCCAGGCTGTCTGATTCCAAAACAAATTCTTAACTACTAGGTACTATATAAGTGGCGATGAAAAAAAAATTAGACTAACTTGTGATAGATTTCAAAGCTAGAATCTACAGGAGACTGATTGGATGATCTCGTGACCCTGGGATCATGACCTGAACCAAAATCAAGAGTCACAGGCTCAACCAACTGGGCCACCTAAGTGCCCCAGAGGTGGGTGATTTTAGAATGAAGTTACCTAAAAAGTTTGTAGATCCAAAAAAATCAAATACCCAGAGAAGAGCCTGAGGTATTCCAAAATTTCCACCTAAAGTGGAAGAGTTAATAAAGGAGATTGAGAAGAAACTATTAATGAAGTATAAGGAAAACCAAAAAAGTGTGCTACAATGCAGAGTGTTAAAAGGACAAAGTTTAGGAAGAAGTCAACCTGAAGTAAAATAAGAACAGCAAACTGACAATGGATTTGGCAAAGTGAAGACAAATCGTTGACTCGAACATGAGCCATTTCAAGGATTTGTAGGGATAGAAGCACAAGAGAAGTATGTTGAAGAAAGAATGCGATATGAAGTATAGCAGCCACTACGAAGTATACTTTCCAGCTATGTGAATAGAGGACTGTGAAAAGGAATGAACTGCTTGAGAAGAATGCAGGGTCAAAGGATTCCATAACACTTAAAGTTAAGAAGTCCAAGAGCACATCCTGCTAATGGGAACGATCCACACTGGCAAACTCTTGATATAAGAAATGGAAGGGATTATATGCAAAAGTAGAAAGGATTGGGATCTATAGTACAAATGGAGAAGGTGGCCTTGGATAGGAGCAGAAGCACTTTTTCCATATTATAGTCTCGAGAAAAGGCAATATTTAGGAACAAAAGCAGATAGTTGAACAAATTTGGTGGTCCTAAATGAAAGAATTCTTACATAAATTTCTACTTCCTTAAAGAACTAGGAGGCAAAATTATTAGTTGAAAGCACAGTGGAGTTGATGGATAATAGGAATATACATATACATAACCTCCTAACACTATAAAATAAATTTTAAATTATAAAATACAAAGAAATTGAAGAGCCTTCTGCTGTGTCAATTATCAAGTATTACCAGAGAAAAAGATGTTTCATCTATGTCAGCTCCTAATGTTTAAAGAACTTTATAAAAAAAGATAAATTTAAATCCAATGACAAACTCTCCACCTAATCAGGTGGTGATAAATTTCTTCTGCCCCTTCTGAAGTTGCACTATATCCTTTTATCTATGACATTACTGATACTGGTTTATAATTGTTCCCAAATAGTTTATCATGGAAACTGAGAACATTAAGTATTATTTAATATTCACTAGCATAATTATGTCCAAAAGTGTTTGTAAAACTGTAGAGTTCTATTAGTATTTATATCTGCACATAGTGCTTTTACAGCAAGACTTAACACAGAAAGATTCATGGCAAAGCAATATATCACATATAATTTTCACTGTTATATTTTAAAACTAATTAGAATTACGCTGGGAGGACTGGATGGCTCAGTCAGTGGTGCAGTGAAGCATGACTCTTGATCTTGGGGTTGTGAGTTCACGCCCTATGTTGGGTGTAGAGAAGGGCGCCTTGGGTAGCTCAGTTGGGTAAGCATCCGACTCTTGATTTCAGCTCAGGTCATGATCTCACGATTTGTGAGATCCAGCCCTGTGTCGGGCTCTGTCTGCACTGACAGCACGGAGCCTGTTTGGGAATCTCTCTCTCTCCTCTGCCTCTCTCCCCAGCTCATATGTACGTGCGTGTGCTCTCTCAAAAAGTAAATAAATAAACAAAATAAAGTAAAATCTTAAAAAAAAAAAATCACCTAACCTAAGCAAAAAAAAAAAAAAAAAAAAAAAAAAAAAAAAAAAAAAAAAAAAAAAAAAAAAAAACAGAATGCTTAATTGGTTGCTTAACATATTTTATATGTTATCCACACACTTACTAGGCACTAAAAGTATTTTTTTCCCTTAAAATGATTACCTTAAAGGGAAAAACTTACTAAGCATTAGAGGGACAATATTAGAAAATCTACTGGTAAAATTACTATGAGCACCTGGGCTCATGTTCTCACCTACTAAACTATGTCATTTTCTGTAATCAAAAGCTTCATGTAGCCTGAATTCATATAATGAGACATTTTAAAAGCTCTCCTAATTCATCTCCATCCAGACACAGCATATCATCAACAATAACTATTCATATCCATCATCAATCACACTTGCAAAGCCACTAGTAAAGCACTGCACTAGCTGCTTTAAATACATGATGTGAAATTCTCATGACAACACACTTACTAAGATCCTTATTTACACGTGTAGACACGGAAACTCAGAGCAAATAACCTCCCCTAGGCCTGTCTGACTTCAAAGTCAGAGGTTACAACTTGCAGCTGTAAAATAAATACGTCATGGGAAGGAAAAGTACAGCAAGGGAATACAGTTGATGATGTAGTAAGTGTATGGGGACAGGCGGTAACTACACTTAACCACGGTGAGCATTTGGTAACTACACTCAACCACGGTGAGCATTTTGTAACGTATACACAATTGCTGAATCACTATGTTGTACACCTGGAACTAGTATTACATGTCAACTATGTTTCAACTAAAAAAGAAATTGGAGGTTATGTTGATTCCAGTGCTATTCATACTACTGCAAAAGTTACTCACTTTTTTTCTATTGGAAAGGTCTTCATCTGTTCAGAGTATCTAATTTTAGTTTTTTAAAAATTAAGTTATAAATTGTTAAAGCAAGAGTATACAAGGGTACATGAGGGTAGATAATATATTTCATACCTTAATCAGAGTACAGGTTAATCTCTATTGTACCTAGGGGAGTAAAAGGAACACTTTCTAAGTAAATAAACGGGTTAACATGATTACAGGGCAAAAAGTTTGAATAGCATCTATTTTTAATCTCTTCAGTCACTTTTACTTTTCTACTGAAACGGTTCACATGATTATATACAGCTGAATACAAAAAACAGAATTACAATATTTTACATCTACTTTTAATACAAGAGGTATTTAACCACTAAGTCCAAAGAAGTGAAGTGACTTGCCAGACTCATAAACAAATGCACACCAGCTCTTAGAATTCAGGTTCCAGACTCTCCATCTTCTCTCCAAACCCATGGTTTGTCAATTTTTCACCATTATTTCAGAGATTTTCATCAAAATATTATGCTTATTAAGTAGTAAAGCTATAGAACTGTAAAACATAACTTCTGAGCTAATAAAGCACAGAAGCCTAATGATGTTCTATGATTCTGACCTTTCAAGAGAACTCTCAAGGCTGTGACATAAAGTGACATTTGTCTGAGGCTTCATTTGCAGTGACACATGCTATCAGGCTGGTGTGCAACAGCACGTCAGGCAGAGCCAGAGACTGTCTAGGACCTTCTACTGTGCTGATCTAACTTTGCTCCCATAGCATGAAAGAATTCTGGCTCCACCAATTTGCAGTTTTGTGATTATAGACAATACTCTAATTTTTCAGGTTTATTTCCTTCTGTTGAATGGCGGAATTTTCTCAGAGGTCTGATATTGTTCTCTGTTTGTTCATCATTCTAGGGTGGGAAGAGAAAGTTATCTAGATGTTGAAGTTAGTTCTGAGAGGCTTTGTGGGTCCTAAATCAGCTGGTTTAGGCTCAGTCAAGGGAGGAACAGAAGATGAGATGAGATGCTGTCATTAAATTTTGCTCCTGATCGGTCCAGATGTTTGTGGACTGGAAGGAAGCAGCTAAGTGCAACAAGGGGCACTAGAGCCTGCCTCCTAATTCAAGTAACCTTGCCCTGCCTCTCCACAACCCACCAGAGCTCCTAGCACTGAGCTTAGCACGGTTCTTCCCACTTCTTACCTAGTGGACTCTTCAATGTCACACCTATTACATGCTAGGGTTGTATCAGTTAAGCACAATTTCTTATCTGCATGGGGCAGTGAAGGCTACCTGAAGGACTTTAAGCAGAGGAACTGTAAAATGATCAAATGTGTATGCTAAAAAGAGCTCTCACGTTCTTTATATACTCCTGCGTTGTTTCACTTGTTACAGCATGTACCAGTTTTATAAAACATCAAATTTTTTGGTAAAACACCAAATTTTGTAAAGTTGAAAAACATCACAAAAAAAAAAAAAAAAAA